ATTTCCTATAAATACAACAATAATTGCTAAAATCTGACGATTATAAACCATACATCACAGTACAAGAATGTTATCACACACTCCCCCGCTGCATAAGGATTTACCCATATATTAATTTAGGAATTTTATGTTCATGCATTTGCCTGAAAGTATACAAAAATATAACATAGCGAGCTACAGGGGTGCGTACGATCAGTGCCAGACGTTACTTGTCGACACTCAATGATCATACACTACATTCTTATCATTTCAAAATCGGCGTAGATGTCTGATTCATCATAATATAGTACTTGTTTACGAGACATATATCTTTTTACCCCAAGAATTCCAACTGTTTTAAACTTGACATTGCCAGCTTCCGAAAAAATGTTACTCCATTCACAAAAAATGTTTACTACGCCAGGAAAATATGCTCTAGTTTATTACGTAATTCTAACAGCCTATACTTAATCATACTTATCTATTCTGTGATGTGTTTTTATGTTGGCGTGGCGTGCTCCCTTTTTGGTAAGATGCTAAATAGGTGATTTCCTCCCATCATGCATACAGTTGGAGAAGCAGGAAATTCTCCGGTGCTTACGGGTGACAAAAGATGACTCAATCAACACTATATAAAACAGAAGATGTAATTTAGAAATCATAAACTTTTAAGAATACAAGAAGATACAACAAGAAGAAATTAAGAGAATTTCATTTAAAGGAAACCGTAGAGGATAATCATGAGATTCTATGCAGCTTTGGTTATTGTAGGTTTTTCATTCGTACTGTATTTTAATCAATTGTTTCTCAATTTAATTTTGTCATCATTCTTTTAAATTGCTTCTTTTAAATGTTGTAATAATTTTTTTTCAAAACTTTTATTGAATTTACAGGCCTCCTTTGGGTTAGCTTTGACGACATCCAACCCTCTCGTTGGTAAGTGTAAAGACTCAAGATTACTTGTCTCGTTTTGTTATCCCCTAATATAATCCAAAATCATTACTTTCGCATGCAGAGAGTTCAAAATCCTTAAAAATCAATCGAGCGATTTAAAGATAAGCCTACATCTTGACTTTAACAGATTTTTAAATCCCGAAATTGGTATGTTTATCGCGACAGCCACACATAACGGTTGTTCACTTTCGGAAAAAGAGTCAACGCTTTTAATTTTCTTTAAAAAGGCATATTCGGTCTTCAGATAAGACGTTTCAGACATTAAATAAGCATAAATCAATTGTAAAAGTAAATTTACAACTTTTCATTATGATTATTTTAATCTTAACTTAAGAATGAAAGTGTGAAAACAGGACTCAATGTTCAAACGATTAAATGTACTCCTTTTAAACGATTCATTTTTCTCTCTTTTCTTTCTTTTACGTCTGGTAAAATATTTGTAAAAGGGTTTTGTGCTTCATTTTCTTTTATTTTTAAGAACATTACTTGCTGAGGAGTAAAAATTTATTTCATATTTTGTCTTTGTCAGGTTTATCAGAATGCCAGGACAGTATAGCAGATGTTGTGTTCGTGTTGGACTCTTCTGCGAGCATCTGGCCACCAGACTTTCAGAGACAGCTCGTTTTTGTGGAAGATATTGTCAAAAAATTTAAAATTGGTCCCAATAACACACAAGTAGGCGTCGTCACATTTGGCGAAACTTACAAACTCCGATTTCATCTGAATAAGTATCAGGAAGATGCCTCCAAATTACAGAAAGCTATCAGCACCATTCAATTCAATCCTGGTAGATCAACTAACACCGGAGATGCCATTGAATTCGTGTCCAGCGTCATGTTCACTAAAAGCAATGGTGCAAGAGATAATGTTCCTAGAGTAGCTGTGGTCATAACCGATGGACGATCTACAGATTCTGCCAAAACGGTCGAGGCTGCACGTGCTGCGCGTGAAAAGGGGATCAATCTTTTCTCCATAGGAGTTGGGAAAAATTCTGACAAAACTGAACTGGAGAGCATTGCCAGTAAGCCATCCGAAGAGTTCGTTTTCACGGTAGACAACTACAGCGCTCTAAAGAACATCCTGAATGTGTTTGCTGTCAAAACTTGTCAAGGTAAATATCTTTGTTTTTAAAAATATTTTTAAAATATAGAAGGCTGCTTTTACACAGATTATGAATTCTGGTTTATTGCAATATGTTTTACCGGGTATATTATTCTTAAATTTCAGTTACGACAACGCCTCAACCAACAACAACCGAAACTACCACCACCACTACCACCACAGAACCTACTACTACCACCACAGAGCCCACCAATACCACCACACAACCAACCACCACAACACCAACTACTACCACAACCACCACACAACCTACCACCACCACCACTTTATCATTCAGAGGTGGACATCAGAGTGACCAGTCTTTTGTAAAAGGTGAGTACATGTGCATGTATTAAATTTGGTATTTACAATAGTATTGGTATTTGATAGTCAGAGTTTTTGAAGTTCGATTTCTGGAAATATAAGACCATTCAAAATTCAAGCTTAACGTTGTACTTGCAGAGTGTAATGGAAAGCCAGCCGACATTTACTTTGTCATGGACTCATCTAGGAGTATTGGATACAGTAATTACCAAAAACAGAAGACTTTCATCAGTAAACTTATCAGTGCTTTTGACATATCTAGCTCCAACACTAGAATCGGCGTTGTCACATATAGCCACGAGATCAAGGTTGACATCCCTCTCGGTTCCATTTTGACCGTCCCTGAACTTCAAAAAGCGGCCAGAAATCTTCCATATCATGCAAGGGGGACAAACACAGGTGACGCCATCCAGTTCGTCAGGAAAGTGGGATTCGCCTCGGGCGTTGCTAGACCCGGAGTCGCCCACATCATGATAGTTCTGACGGACGGCCTGTCCATGGATACTGCAAAAACACAAAAAGAGGCTGCCCTGGCTCATGATGCTGGTATCTATGTTTTTGCTGTTGGAATCGGAAAAGGAGTTGACACAGTGGAGCTTAGTGCCATTGCCAGCGACCCAGACAAAGATTTCCTTTTCCATGTCCAAAATTTCGATGCTCTGAATTCCATAAGAACACTACTAGCCACCAGGACATGTGGAATGTTACCCAAGGACGATGCTTCTTTAAATGGTAAGTTTTTTTTTAATTTTTACCGATTCTTCTATTTCTTTTCTTTCACTAATTTACATTAAAGGAATATTTTAAATGTCATGTTGCCACAAACTAATATTTTTCCCATTTCTTTTCAGTTGTTCAATTAATTGCCGAAGTATGGAATGATGGACATCGTATTTGTATTTGATATGTTTGGAATCGGGGCCCAGAAAACCCTTATTATCAACAAATTCATCTCCTCAATCGTGAAAAGAATCGCCATTGGAATGGGAGACATACGAATTGGTCGTCTTACAGCCGATTGTCCAGAAGCCGCCCAAACTGGTCTGGTCCCTGTGACGTCATGGAGTGGCGTATCAAAAATTACGTTCCCCGGACTCAGCAGCCTCATTGAGAAACTCGACGCCTTCTTCGACAAGAATGGTAGCAGGCGTGGCGCGCGGCGAACGGTGGTGGTGTTCGTGGACGAACAAGAACAGAACGTGATGGACATCGTTAGCAAACTTCATTCTCTTGAAAACATGAACGTCATCACTATCATTCTCGGCGAGGAGGAAAAATATGTTTTGGAGGAAACAGAAACGAGAAAGTATTTTTATGTTCCTAGTTATGAACAGCTCTTTAAATTCACTTTCCCGTGTTCAAAGCAACTTTGTTTCTGTGATGTCGCGTAAATGTGTTCATATTAACATATGTGACTGTGATATTACATTCCATTTTTTTAATTCAATATTTGAATTTACATTTATAAATATTTATAAACCGTTTCTTATTTATACAGAATGTTTTACATTTTATACATTTTTACAACTTATACGTGTATTTGATGTTGATGTTAATCATATTCATGATTGTATGTAAACTAATCGATGACTCTTTTGAAATAAATTTTCGAATATGATATTGTGCTTTCCATTCTTTTAATGAAATAAGTCGGTGTGACTGTGCCTATCTCTTTCGAAATTTTTAACTAATTTAAGAATATCTGATCCCGAGCCAGGTGGTTCTACGGAGGAGACAGTATAAACCCCGAAATCCCGTGTCGCAGGTATGCTGACACGAAAAAAAAATCCCTCACTGCTCCATCAGCCTTAATGGCCCGGAGTGCCGCGAGTATTTGCAGCTCTCCACTACCAAGTGGTGGCGTCTCCGTATGAGTGAAAAATTCGCGAGAGAGACGTTAAACAAATCCTCAGCAAAGAAGGATACTGAACTCTTAAAATTAAATTTTGATTTTAGAAGTCTCATTATAAAGTTTGAAATTGAAAAATTCCCATGCAACGATTTCCATGACTCGGGTTTTTTTTTTTAAGTCTTAGAAAGGGACATTTCTGCCCTGTAAAAGTTTTTTTTTAATTACAGTTTTAGAGAAATGGTTTTCTTGAATCTAGCCTTAGATACCAATGCTTATTAGCAGAATATGAAATTAGAAGTGATCTGTGATATCTTGCAATGAAAGCACAAGGTTTTTACATTTTTTATTATATAATTATAGAAGGAAATAGAACGTCAGACATCAAATACCAAATAAGTATAATTAAAAACATGCAAATTTCTCTGAATTCGCGGATACCCGTAGCTTTTTAACCAAATATATATATATATATATATTTATCAATTTTTAATCAAAAAATGCATAGTTAATGAATCTAATTGATTTTCCTGAATAAATGTTTGAGATCTGATATTTTTGAAGAATGGGTATTTAATACATATCATTTTGTGAATTCAAACATAATTTTGTAAGGATTATCAATTACTTTTATAAAACTGTTCATACTGTATAATGAACATAAGGATCAGACTATCTTAAACTAGCAAAGAAGAAGACCAGGATATTGATTCAGAACAAGAGCGGTTTTCCGGATCTGATAATGAAATCCGTCATGCGATTTCTTTTTTAGTTTATCTTAGATATATCCGATGTCAATTTTGTGCCATTTTCATGGATGAGTTTGGCATGCGAAACAATTTTCTTGAAACATGATTAGAGAATGGCTAAATTATACAATTGAAAGACGAAAGGTTTGATTTTTTAAATTAAAGTTTTAAATGATATTTGGATATTGAACAAACTGTATTCACTCGTCTCCCGAGACCGCTTTTTTCAAGCTATATACATGTAGCTAGATCAAGAGATTGTACTGGACCTGTTTATTTCTTGATGTTTCGTAGGGATTGCGACAGTATCGTATTAATAATTATTATGATTATAAATCACATTGATGGTCCTTTGCATGACAAATTTGTTTCAATAGTAAATAAAATAATCCTTTTACAAATTAATTCCAATTATGATTTAGACCTGATATTAAAGTTAAAAAAATAATAATAATCAAATGAATTTTAACAGTGACTTATGGAGTCCAAAGTAAAACAAAGATCAAAGGAATGGTTTGACATACGTCAATCAGTTTACCTGACATCATCAAAGTTTGGAGATGCTCTTGGAGTTGGGATGGGTAAACCTTACGACTTCTTCCTCTCCTTGATGTCAGATGATAATGATGAAGACGAGGAAGAAGTAACGGAATCATCATATACACAGCATGGTATTACCATGGAGGAAATCATCCTGGAATGTTACCATCTTCTGACAGGGCACAAGACAAGGGAGTCAGGTTTTTGGGTGCCTAGGGACAGGATACTACAAGATCTGATAGGGACATCCCCAGATGCAGTTGTTGTGGATGATCAAGGGGAAGACATTGGGTTGTGTGAATTTAAGGCTCCTATCTACAGAATGTATAAGACAGAGAATACAGTGCAAGGTAATTTTGCAATGTATTACATTTCCTACTTTATTAAGTCTAAAATTTCTTTGTACATTTTTGTACACACAGTGTAGGTAAAGCAATCTCTGCCTATAGAGTATGTACTGAACATTACCACCGGTAGATTTAAAAGAGATCTCCTGATCCTATCAATATTGAGGACTGTGTAAAGAAAAACAGGAAAAATAACTTTAAAGGAACCAAACCAGTCCATTATTTCTAAATTTTCATTTAAAAAATTATTTTAGGTATACCTCGGCATTATATGGCGCAGATACAGGGACAGCTGGCCATCACAGGACTTCCATGGTGCAATTTCTTGGCTGTCTGTAAAAATACAAAAGAAATCATGTTAAAGAAAGTATATTTTCACTCAGAATACTGGACCAATGTAGAGAAGATTCTAAAACAGTTCTGTTATGCTTTACAGGTAAGCTATCCACCTCAAGAACTTTCAAAACACATTTAAAAGTAGACATGCTTAAAGCTTTGCATAAAATCGTCTTTGATATTATGCAGTATGTCTAGAAAAATTAGGAACATTCATATGTATCATTGATTTTTGGAATATATGACAAATAAACAATACAACTGCCTTAATACAATTATCGATAGCATCGAGGAAGTTTTGGTAGACTTTTTGGTACATTTTTTTGAAACATAACCTATATTCACTCTGTTTGATTAGGATGCCAGATTGAGGAAAGAGTTGGGATATGACCCTCTGGATTTTGAGGGAGCACGGAAACTAGAGACTTGGCCAGTACAAATCGATTACCTACCTGGTGAGCTGTCAATCAATGTGGAGGACCTTATTCAAATTGACAAACGCAAGCGCTTCAGTGGACCGTCCAATGTGTGGCTGTCGTTTGATTTCCTGATTGGCCAGTCTTACTCACTACCTCCTTGCTTACAGGAATACGCTCAAAAAATGATTAACGAAGTGGATGAACAGTTAAGTTGTAAGAGAAGGAAGATCAAAGAACAAACTGTTGTCAACTCAAATGGACGGTCATGATAATCTGAGAGTTATTAGTATTCATTACAAATTTTTACTAAAATTATTTTGCCATTTCCTAAATTTGACCAATCCTAGGAAATAAATTGGACATCTCTAACATTGTGTTATAAAAGTGAGCAGTTTGAACGTGATGAATGCAAGCTTCATGTGGGCTTTAAGGTCAGATTTCTCGTGTGTCATCTAAATCATTTAATAATGTTTTTTCATGGACTGAAGATAAACTGTACTTGATATTACCAATATCTATGTAGTGTATTGTATACATGTATATTATAGTATATAATAAGGTAATATACATGTACATGTATTACAATATCAAATGCAAGGATGAATTGTGATTGAATTTATGAATTTTACATGTAAAACATGATGAAACATCTCTTTGACATTTGCAATTAAATATGCGAGATTCAACTCTTAAAGATGTTTAATTGATGATATTTAAATTGAATAGTAGATAACTAAGATGGTGAATTTCAAGATTGAGGACATCAGCTGACATATGACCAGCTGACTATAGTCCTTTTCAAATTTGATAGGAATAATTTATGGAGGCAATTTTTGCATCATTCCATATTTATTACTGTATTTATCTTTTTCAGTTATAATCTTGTGCTCTCAACTTCTCCTCTCATCAAAATCTTCAGCTTTTACCAATCACTATGGTACATTCCTCAGCAACCTTGTTGTAACATTTATATTTAAAAGAGGTTTATAAACATCATAATTTAAACCTCAGTAATTAAAATAACAGCTCCTTATGTTCACATTAATTTATTGAAATGTCAAAATGGACAATTTACAATGTTATATTTACATGTGATATCACACATGATAATGTATAGAACACATTGTACACATATACACTGTCTGGAGTAACAGTTCTAGCTTGTCAGACTTAAATTTATCTTCTGTAGCGATAGCGTTTGAAGTGGAACCACAGCTGGAAAATATTGTTCTGAAACTGACACCGGAATCCATGTTTGTAGGAGTATTCCCACTCTCTGTGTACGATTTTGAAGGCAATGTCCTGAAAATTAAAGAAATATACATGATTAGCTTTGTTTCTCATCTACAAATTTTGAGACATTCATCATCATTCTTCAAATTAATAAGGAGAGGAAAATTTCAGCCAAAACAATGTTTTTCCTTATTGAAACCTACAAGGGGAGACAACAAGCTACAACATCTGAAATTGTGCACATTTCTCAGATATACTGTAAATCACTATTTATTCGCGAGAACTTTATTTTCGCGTAATTACGCGAGACAATATGCTCGCGAAAATTTCATTCTCGTGTTTAATAGTATCCCTTAAGATTATATAGAGCAATGACCACAATTCGTGAAAATTTTGTCTCACTAATAAAGATTCAATGACTATCTCGCGAAAATAAGGTGTCGCGAAAATTAAGTGATTTACAGTAGTTTGAAATCATTTCTCTAATTATGCTCTAAATTGTGTAATTAAACAAAACCATAAATACACAACAATTTTTGAAATACATGTACATGTATGTGTAACAAATTGTACATGTGTGCTTACTTCATATGGTGGTCCAGCATGAAATCTTAGAACAGCAAAATCTTTGTTGTCTTCTATAGGTGTCTGAAGTAGAAACATTTATACATGTACATGTATATGCCATTAATTATGACAGAAAGGAATCAAACTTTCTCTTTTTATACATTCAGATGAAAAAAATCAAAATATTGGTAAGGAGATGTTTATGTAAAATGCCATTTATACTTACCAGTGTGTACTCTGGGGTATCTGTTTTGTCAATCAAATCTGGATAAAAGATCTGAAAATAAAAAGAAGACTTGTGATCTATCGGTATAATGCTTGTCCTGATTCATCAGTTAACAAGGTTTCAAGGGCCAGTTCATGATGACTTGCAAAATATTCAATTTAACTTTTTGTAATCTTCCTGATCACATTTTTTTTAACATGAAAATTTTGATTTTTTTGTAGGAAAAAAGAAAATCTTTTTTCAGTTGGATTGCATGTTTTGAATGTACTTTTCCTATGCTGAATGAAATACGAGTTTCACCATTCAATACTTATATGAATATCTGTAAAATTTAGACTTATTGGATATCAATACATTGTACTTTATAATGTAAAAATTCTTACATTGAATTTGTATCCCTGTACAATCTTAGGTGGAGGGTTATCAATGTCATAATGGGTCTGGTTATACTTGTTCCACTCAAAGCCAGTGTGAACTCGGTTAAAGAACCGTGGTTTACGAGGGCGGTACTTGTCTGACCATAAGAATTTCTGGTGCTCAGTGGGAATCTCTACACTAAATGTCGCCTCATCATCATTCATACCCTCCCTGGCTTTCTTCTCAAATTCTGTCTCTCCATCCAACTAATGTAAAATAAAGAATTTAACATATGACTTTAACTTCTGAAGTGTAAATTTTTACTATAGAACTACTGTAAAATCTGATGTCTTTGTGGCCAGTGGGTTCAAATTTTTTGGGGTTTGAGGAAAAAATATTGCTTTGTGGGGATTTGATTTCGTGGTTGTAGAGAGTCTCAGGTTAATGCATGTAAAATTTCTGATTTTGTGGTGGTCATAAATGTTGTTTTCTCTATATCTTGAAAACAACAAAAATTAAACCCCACGACAATTTTTGATTTCACAGTATTAAAACTTTACAGGAAAGCTAAAGAATTGTGACCTATCCATCGGACAGCACTAAGAGCTAGTTGAAGTCTTACCCTGACACGCCCTGTTGATAACACTTGTTGCCTGGCTAGCTCCAGTTTCCTCATGTCATCTGTGGGGTCGTACACTACAGTATCTATCTCCAGTTCACTTGGCCTCAGTAGTTTAGGGGAGTAATTTCCAGCTTCATAATCAACATAAGCCTGGTCCTCCAGGTCTTCCTCTGTTATCAGTGCCTCATCACTGTAACATTAAAACAATTCATTGTTTTCCCCAAACAAATCACAGTTTATCCTAATTATCTAAATAAATATTCCATACTTTACTTAATGTAATCTGCAATTCTATGTGAGAAAAATATTAAAGAGAGGATTGGTTGTATATTATTTAAGTCCCTCTCGAGAATTTTTCACTCATATGGAGACGCCACCATTTGCTCGTGGAGAGCTGCAAATTTTGTCCTATACGTGGCACTCAGGGCCATTGAGCAGGGAGGAATCTTTTTCATGCCAGCACCTACTGCAAAACAGGACCTGGTTTACACGGTCTCATCCGAAGGACCAGTGTCCATGTCCCACAGTGGGATTTGAACCCTGGCGTAAGGATCAACTCCTTACTTTGCGACTCTAAAGCAGATGCTCTAACCACTGTGCCACACAGGCAACTAAGAGAGGAAAAATATTTGCTAATGGCATTTATTTAAATATACCCATAAATGATATATAGTCTAAAAATTAAATTTAAAAATATGATTTTTTACATTATCTTTTGGTAATAATTTATTTTAGTTCTTCAATAAACCAGTTATCAGTGTTCAAATAAGTTATCTGAATATCTGATCTTACTCTTCATCCTCTGCCCCTGTACTAGGACCAGGCAGAGCCTCCTCTCCTGTTTCTGTTTTGGCAGCACTGGTGGAGGGTCCAGGTGAAGGCTGATTCTCTCCCCTATCAGGTGGGGCTGGAGATTGGGTCTTACTGCCAGAGGGCGCTGGTGACAGTCTCCCGAGGCTAGAGGGCGCTGGAGACAGTCTCCTGAGACCTGAGGGCACTGGAGAGTTCCTCCTGTCTGGTGTACTGTTGTTGCTGCTACCACGAGACACACCAGAAGGAAACAGAGGACCAGAGTCAATTCCTTGCTGTAAACATTAAATAGGAATATTTGTAAAAGGAAAAGTACTGAAGAATATGAATGAATAATATCGTTCATTACATTTTTATTGTACAAGGAAATACAGAATTTTTTTCAAAATTTCCAAAAGCTCACATAATTTGTACAATGACAATAAACATGTTTATAAATTATCTGAAAGCGTAATAGTTGTCTCAGATAATATTACAGAGGTTTTTTTTCCAACATAAACTAAATGATCTTTTATTTCTTAATTCTGTACACTAACCTCTTGTTTCAGTTTGAAGAGTTTCTGTCTGAGATTTTCTTGATGCCTCTCCATCAGTCTTGTTCTGGCCATGTGTGCCTTCAGCTGCTGAAGTAGTGACTCCCAGTATCCTAAAATAAGTAGCAAAGAATAAAAACACACAATCCTATCTTATATTCACAGTCTCTAATCTCTATAACCCATATCTCCACTTCTTCCCAACCCTTTGTTGTATTTGCAGTTGTACATGTGTATCACTTCCAAATATCACATGTTCCACATCATAAATACTGTCCATCTTCCTTATCCACTTGTGTGATCCAGTACACCCACATCCACTCTCTTTACCTCTAGCATACACATTAAAATGTAATCCACTGTCTATGTGTACTTATCCAGCCTTTGATTAAAATGTATAATACATCACAGAACCCATCCTCTCTCTCTCTCTCTCTCTCTCTCACTGTACATTACATGTGTATCCACTTACCTACATCCACTCCTTCTCCTCCTTGTAACTTCTTTTTAATCTGTTCCTCCAGTAACATCAGTTGATTCGTGGTTTTACCTTTGAAAATGGACTGTACTTCATTGCTGACTGATTCATTGATTCTTTCTCTTCTGTCTTGGTAATCTGTAGAACATAAAAAATTATCCTGAAGTGAAACCAGTCTACATTGGACATTCTTTCAAATAATGGATTCAATTTAGATTTATCAACAAAATGAAATATATTTTCTTAGTTCTGAAATGTGACAATTGTAATTTTATTTACAGGACTGGTGAAAGAATGTTTACCTCTTTGACTTGAATCTAACTTCCTGAGCTGAGCCAGTTCATCATTAGCAATAGTAATGATATCCCTCCAATATTCCACATTCTTCCCCTGTTCTAGTTCTAGATAGACTTTAATGTCCTCCAGTAAATCTTCTAGATCCGCTATTGTCAATCCCTAACAATAAAGTTAAAATTATTCTGTATGTGCACATTTATTCATTCTTTCCTTTTGTTCTTTATTCTGATAATAATCAGTATTTCCATGTACTAGTAAAGAAAAATGTCCGATGCACATAAGATATTTTTATCATTTCTTTTAGATTTAAGAAATAATCTAAGACAAAGAAACATGTTATAGCCATAGAAATAGGAAATTAACTACTTAACAAACAAATTATAAGAGAAAACATTATATCTTACATAGAGATATGTGTATGGCTCATGCATTTCAACTGCAAGATCATCATCTTCAGCACTGATGTACTTGGCTAACAAGTCAATAGGCTTGGCTACAAATCATTTATTTAGAATGTAAATGTATCAATAGCTTTCTAATACTTTTGACCTTTACAGAATTCA